AGAGGAGCATTAACGTTGTTCTGCGCAGAGCTCCGGGAGTGTTTGTAATTGCTCGTTTCTGGCAGTGATCTTGGTGACTGTAACTTCCCGGCCAGTGGTTTTGGTTGGGGAAGGTGGAGGTCGGGTAGAAGCTCCACGTACAGCCAGGAGCTCGCTGTGCACCGGAGGCTGCCGCCCCGGGCCGAGCAGGGCCAGGACTTGCATGTGACAAAAGCGACTGTCCCGGGCTCGCGCTGGGTGGCATGCGGGCATCCCTGGTACCAGGACCTCCGTGTCGGTGACAATAGGTTTGCCCCGGGCTGGGTTTCGTGCTGGGCATCAGTTGGTTGCAGTCGCTCCTGTCCCAGCGCCGCTGTGTTCACGGTGCGGTTGTTCTTGTGCAACGGAGACCCATTTTGGTGAAATCCCAGGGGCGAGGAAGACTAAGTCAGCACTCCAGAGCCACGTGCTTTGCTATAAGTATATAAGTAGTTTCATTGCCCCCAGTGAAACTGCTCATGTGCTTAGCATTAAGCATGTGTTTTAAATAAGTTGCTGATCCATGATCCAGGGTCCTGTCTTCTTCTTTCCTTTTTTTTTTGAGTAAAATCTATACAAATGAGGATAAGACTGGAAGCACACAAATATTTCAGGTGTTACAAATAAAGCCTTATGGTAGCATCCCCCGGGAAGGAGGTGATAACTGATAACAAGTTAAAGCTCCACGTGCAGCCTTGTACACGAGATAGAAGGTTTAGACTGGAAGCAGTGGCTGGGGATTGCCGGTGCTCCCAGTTTTGGGAATGCTGGGCTGCATCCATACAGCTAGCTGGGCAGCAGCCTTTCCCCTCGCAAACACACACGGTTTGTAAAACCACTTCGCCGTGCGCTGAAATTTCTTTGATATTTTTAAAAGCTTGTTGCTACAGCAACCAGACCCCATAACACAGGAGCGCTTTGGTAGTAAGAACGAGGCTACGAAATTCTGCTACAACCAGGAATAAACTGGAGCAAGATAAACCAGCAGTGTTGGGAGGAGCAGAGCAGGGGAAGCGGCACGGCGTCACAGCGGGGTCCGGCTCCGGGCTCTGAGGTCTCCGCTCTCTGCACCCTGAGGAGATGGGAAGTTCACACATGTCTTTCTCACTGATACTTCAGAGTCCTCCTATTTTTTTTTTTCCCTTACGGAAAGGTTGAAGCGATTTGGTAGTTGGCTTCCGAGCAAGGAAGCAGGAGTTTTGCTTTTCGGAACTGGATGTCCTCTTTGTGCTCTGCTAATATAGAAACTGGCAGAACAGGCATTACTTTTTCTTTGACGTTAGGGCTTGCAGCCCTGTTTGCTTGTGTCTCATGACTGAGTGAATCAACACCTAATTAAGCAGTCACATGAGGGACAGAGTAAAATGCTGCTCATGCACTGATCCTTGCAAATCTTTGGAGAATAACTACTTGCTTCTGTCTTCCTGCTTCTCCGAAGAGCCCTGGGGAGCTGCAGCTTTCATTTTCAGGGGAAAGAAAAAAAAAAAAAAAAAAAAAAAAAAGGCAAAGATCACAGAAACTGGGATAAATCTGTGCTATCCAGGCAGATAAGTGAGACCTGCAATAGCAGAAGGAGAGGGATTGGAAATACAATCCAAATGGTTTGGGTTTGTGCTGGCGATGGCAGGTGTTGAGCCTGGCCCTGTCCCCCTTGCACAGGGGATGCTCCTGTGTGCCAGCGTGCCAGCGCTGAACGTGGGGATGCTGGACCAGGACGTTCCCCGGGCTGTTCCGAGGGCTCTGCATGGCTCCTTGCTGCCTTTAACATGAGTCGCAGTTGTTGTGGAGGGCCCGTAACGACTGTGTTGTGGCAAATACTCCTCTGGAGATGTGCCGGGCTCTGAATTGCCTCCCCATCCTGCGTGCAGCCCCTTAATCAGTGCCACGGAGGAGGGTGCTCGGCCCCGCTGCCCCTTCCAGCCGCAGCAGCAGCAACCTTGGAGAACGCGCAGGAAACAAATAACCCCCTGCGTTATTTGGCGTGAGCAGGCGGCCTGGCAGGGGATGCGGGGACACCCCGGGCCATGTTGATGCTGCTGCCATCGAGCCCTGGCACCTGGCAGCGGTTCGGGGCGTTTCTGCAGCCTGGTATTTGCAGGTAAACTGCAATATAGCAGCAAATACCGGGTGTTTGTAGATAAATTGCAATATAGCAGCAAATCCCGTTTTTTTTGCGGGTAAACTGCGATATAGCAGCAAATACTGCGGGTCATCCCGGCAGGTGACCCACGTCAAACAGCGCCCTGAGAAGCAGCTCTGCCCCACAACTGCTCTCCTGTGCTGGGCTAGATAATTCTGTGCAATTAAATGAAGGATTGTTGGTGTTTTTTTTTTTTTTTTTCAGCCTCTATCTGCGTATATCAAAAGCAGTGTGTATTGGAACTTCCTTCTCCTGAACTGCATTAAACACACACAATCCTGAACTACGTATACTTGATTTTTAATAGCTACAGGGAAAGATTATTCTGCTCCGAACGCCCTCACAATAAAATAACTGTCTGGCCGGGGGAAAATGCCCTGTTGTTTCACAGTACCAGTTGGTATTACGGAGGTTTGTTTGGTGTCTTATTTATAGAAGATTGCAATTGGAAATGCGATACAAAACAAACACCAGTGTTCCAGTAGCTTAACCGTGCATCAGATTTTTACTTTGATAGTTATTTTTATTTTAGGCATCTTTTAACAACACTTAAAAATTGACACAGCAAAGGGACAGTCCATCTCCTGAGGTCTGAACATCCACCCTGTTAATATATTCCACATAGCTTCCTCCAGGAATGCTCCAAGATGGATTAATTTTGCTAATGCTGCTTAGCACTGCCCATATAGATCCTTTATTCCGGCTGTGGGACCTGCTGATGTTAGTGAGAATTGCACATCTTTTATAAGATGTGGTTCAGTGTGGGACTTTTTGTTTTATTTTTTGCACATGAAAAGCACTTCAGTGCTTAAGACTCTGCTGCTTAGGAAACTAAATTGGGGGTTGGAGTTTGCAAAGATTTGCAGTTCTCCTCCTTGTGGCTCTTGCCGTCCCTGGGCTCCACGTTTCCATGTGTGTCCACGGGATGCGCGAGTACCTGTGGGCGCTCGGGGCCTTGTCCTGCCCGCTCTGCTCCATGAGCCGGCAGGAATTCACTGGATTTTTTCGCAGGAATACAAAAATGCACAGAAAGCACATTTTTTAAAGTCTAGCTCAGTGGTAATTCCACTAAGGCCAATATTTTGTAGGGAAGCAGTATCCAAGGATTCCTAGTCAGATTCCAAATGAAACCTGAGCAGTTTTGCTCTCGTTTTGCCTGGCCTTTGTGCAGTGTGAAGCTGAGACGCCAGTGACTGGCTTTTGTCGTGCACATTTACAGCGTGTGAGAAGGAGCCTTTTCTTGAGAGACAGATAAAGAAAGCTTGTTAAGGCAGTGGAGAATGAAAATCTGTTTCATTTACTTTCTTAACTTGTGCTTGGAACCAACTGTTGCCTGCTGGTTTGGGAGTTTCTACCCCCAAATTGCACACCTTGGCTGTGATTTTGGATGTTTTCAGAAAGGCCTTTAGATAAAATGAAGAAAATGGCATTTTTTTCCCCCTTTGGTGCCCTTTGAGGATTTCTATGGCACTGTTTTCCTCCCCCGATCAGTGTAGATGGAGCAGTAAGCGGCACGGATGGCAGGTTGCGCTTTGCGAGTTAAACTTCGTCCTCCTGCCCGAGCAAGGGCCACGTCCTGGGTTTGGAACCAGGCATCATTTCTAAAAACATATCTGTGCTGGTCCCCATGAGTGAAAGGGAGAGCTATTTTTCTGGATCTGCACCTAAGGAGGAGGATGGTGCACATTTACTTTATTTATTTTTTTTTAAGACTCATTTCATGGATATGGGAGAAGCAATAGTGCTTGCAAACTATCACTGACTGTCTGAAGTCCCTTCTCAAACATGAAGCGTTCACTTTCCTGGCTACAGCACTGGTTCCCCTCTGTATAATTTGAGTCTCTCTTTATTTGAAGGGAAATTCTTTCCAATATTTTTCCTAGTCAGTTGTTAGACGGAGGCTGGGTCCTCTTTCAAAGCACTTGTCTTCACTGCGCATCGGGTTACCCTGAGGTAAAATGGAAACTTTAGCTGTTACTCCTGTAAATAAATGTTTACATAATACATTGCGCTGAACTTCTCACCATTGCATCTCAAAGAAAAAAAGGTCACTTTTGACATCAGTAACCTTTACAGAGCAGGGCGTTTGCCACACAGGTGGGAAAGTCACCGTGCCCGGCACATTCCTGCAAGCAGGTCGGGAGGTAACGGAGCTCAATGGTTCCTGCCCCCGCGCAGCGCTGGGCGCTTTGAGGGTGGATTTGCCTTGAAGGCCGGGGCTGCTCGTCCTGCACCTTCTTTACACACGTGAATAATTCTGTGAAACCTTCTGGTACTCGTAACGTAGGAAAAGGCAAGTCTGTATCATGGCATCCGGGCCTTGACTCCTTTGCTAAATGAGAGATTTCCTTTAAAAACACCTATGGTCACAAGAGAGTTTTTTTCCGGATTTGTGAGAAGCGGGTAGCTGTGTCTTAGTTTTTTGGCTTTGCAGCAAAACGCTGTCGTTTGGCACCGGAACCAACCGCCCCGGTTGGCTACCCCAGGTGAAAATGTCACCGTGACTTGAGTCAACACACAAGCTTCCCGGAGGCTGAAGAACAGCAGTGGGGCTGCCATGCCCTCCGCTTGCCCTCCGGGGCCGTATCCCGCGTGTCCCATCCCGAGCGGAGCAGGCCCCGTGCCCGCCGGGCCCTGCTGTGGCGGCGAGGCCGCGCGGACGAGGCCTGCGCCACATCACATGATGGCCGGCGGCGGGGCTTGAGGTGGGGGGCCCGGCGCCAGCCGCGCCGGGCTCGCCCGGGGATCGCGCCGGGCTCGGCTCCGCCGCACAGCGCTGCGAGGCGCGGAGCGGCCGGGAAAACGGGCACCGCTTCCCTGAGCACAAATCCCCGAAATCCAGGACTATGCGGCTGAGCGCGAGGGCAGGATCGGGGTTGCAGAACTCCCGGGTGGTGTAAATGGATCCGCGTGCGAGCGCCCGCAGCGCGCCGCAGCGAGCGCGCGGCTTTAAGGTGGTTTTTGTGCACCGGGTGCTGGGATTAAACCCTTTGCGTTGCAGCATGGAGAGTCTTTTGTTTGAATTAAACTCAGACTTGCTATGTCACCTGACAGTCTTGTGGTTTTGGATGAACATGGCTCATTGCTATTATTAACCTGCGCTGGCAGCCGGGCACAACAGGAGTTTGTGGGGATCGTGGAAGGCGGAACCGCTCGCGGGACGAAGATGCTTCCCAGGTACGATAAATACCCCATCTCGAGGGTACGCTAGAGTTTGAGAGCTTAATAGTTTCACTGTGGTGAAAATATTTCTTTTCCAGAAATGTGATGCTTTTAGAGAGATTTTTTTTTAAATGATTCTTATAATTATATACTAAAGGGCACTGATGTATTTTTTTTCCCCCTAAATGAATTCTGTCTGTTGTAATTTTGCAAAGGGGAGTTGCAGTCTACTGGAATAATGCAAAGCACTGCTCTTAGTGTAGCTGAGGGAACTGATCTGCATTTGTGTGTGTGGTTTTTTGTTAAAGTGGGTATTTCAGAAGCACACATAACGTTTGGTGTATGTGTATATGTTTGCATGTGTATGTGTGCTTAAATCATCTAGGAACCAGGCAGATGGGGCTTTTTTTTCTTTTTTTTTTTTTCCTTTGAAATGACATGCATGGGATAGTCTGGAAAATATTTTATGGAATTGCTAGTGTTGACTGTAAACTTTGGAGCTGTGTAGATTGCAAACTTGCCCAACGTTGCGATATGTCTTTAACAAAGTCGTTCAACCTACGTGTTCTCAGTATCCCAACGCGGATCATGATTAACGCGGTGACTGGATGCACCTAAGCCGTGCGCCCTGCGTCTCCTTGCTCATGGAAAGGCATCTGGCTCATGCATTGGGCTTCAGTGTATAAATTACAGATCTCAACGAGAGCCAAGTGACTTAGAGGGGAGGGAAAAAATGAAAACAAACTGAAGTCAGCTTCAAATGCAGTTAAAGGCCCGGGCAGAGCCAAGGGCGGTGGAAGCCAGTTGAAATTAGGTCCAAGTTTGCTGTCCCGAGTGCGAGCTCCCCGCGTGCCTCCCGCCGCGGACACAGTGTGCTTAGGCTAAGCACTAAGCAGCACAAGGTTCCTGGAGCTCAAGCCGTGCAGCTATTCAAGGTGAGGATGGCTAAGCTGGTAAATGAATGAGACAGATTTATAGGTGCAACACTGAGCTGACGGCTGCCCTTCCCGCGGAGGGTCAAGGAACAAGGAGAAGGCTTGGATTGTTTTTGGTTTTTTAAAGAAATGTTGTTTCGCTGTGATAAACCTTAAAAAGGCATCCCTGAAGGCAGTGGCTAGTCCTGAGTCCCGAAGGCGACTGGTTATCTAGCAGCTCTTCCAGGCGACCCTGAGCGCGGATCCTTTGGCGTCTGGAAAAGCCCCGCTGGGGTCGCAGGGACAGAGGGCAGCGTCCCTCCGTTGTCGCAGGCTCCCGCGGTGCCCTCGGTCAAGGCACAAACACCAGTTTTCCCTGCAGAATCAGCACGCGTTCGCCACAAGTGTCACACAGCCCTCAAGTGACCTCGGCTCTTACAAGGACGATTGTCTTGCAAAATGTTTTTTCTAAGTATAGGCCCCGTGGTTTCTGTAGCTTTGGGATCTCCTTCCTCCTTGCAGCCTCACAGTCGGGTTATGTCACTACCATTTGAATGAAGCCGCGCACCGAAAATGCCAACTCTGCACATCAGCAGTGCGGTTTGGCTCATCTTTTTCACTTGAATCCTGATAATGTTGTTCTGCATTTCAGGTGTTGCTAGTAGAAATCTAAAAAACCTCCAAGCCTCTGTATGATAGGTCATCTTCCAAACTTGTCGGAGCTGCACCGTGAGCAATGCCATCCAGGCAGGTTTCCATTGGTGCCAATCAGTTGTGCTCTTTCCAAAATATCTGCACAGCTGTGTTTACACAGGAATGGCTAAATAGTAAGAGAATAATGACTGAACTGCAGTAAGAAGATGTTCAAGTCTATGGAATGCCCTCTCTGAGCTCTTAAACCTCAGCTCTTGTTGTATCTCCTCAAAGCCAAAGGGAGATGGAAAAGATCCAGTAACAGGTAATGGAAATGTGCGGAGGAATTTGGAAAAGGGCTCGGCCGGAGGCGAGACTGTGCAATAGGGCAGTTGGGCTGTAGAAGGACCATGGCCCTTTTGCTTCTGTTTACTTCTCCCTCTAATAAAACAACCGCAGGATCCTAAACACTGCTCGGCCACAAATGTGTGCGTGTGCGCCTGTGTCTACAGGCATCTCCGAGGGACTTGGAAATAATCTGCGAGTAAAAGATTGCACTAAGTGCATCTGAATGGTCCTGTATTTATGATCTTAACTCTTCAAGATGGTATTTCTGCCAAACGTTCGTGTTTGGCACAAGTGGAGAAGTTCTAAGCCCTCCCATAGCGCCGACAGCAGTAACAGAGCAGGAAGAGCAGCCGTGGGTCCCTGCTCCTCTGTGTCCAGCGCCCACCGGCCGCCAGGGAGACGGTTCCTCCCGTGCCGAACGGGCTTGGATGCTCCCCTGGAAGCGGCTGCGGGGTGGGTAGACCTGCCATCCGCGTGGGGATGGCTGTTCCTGTCAGCTTTCTAAAAAGGTGCTAACATGAAAAACATGCAGAACAGATAAGCTGGCATAAACTATAAATATCATTTGCGTAGATGCTTTTAAAAATAGTTGCGAGTGATTCATCGCCAGGCAGTTTTTATAACTGTGAAACATGATGTAGGAAAACAATAGTTTGACTGATAGTTTTAAGTTACTTTCTCAATAGCTAGTCATGTTCTTGTTTTGAGCATTTTCACCTTTTAGCAAGATCTGTTACAAATCCTGTCTGCTCAATATTTTGATAAGTGTGTTTCTGTTACTGTTCTTTTAGACTTCCGAAATATCTGTATTAGTAATTAAAAAATAGCTGGCTATTAGCTAGGTTGTGTTAATATGAAATCATTTTAAAAGTAAAACCTGAGCCAAGAGGAAAAAAGAAGTATTAAAGTAAACACTTACTATAACAAAAAAAGTTCATTTTGTAGTGGAAAAAAAGAAGGAAGAAATGTACTTGTTTCAATTATGGAGGAAAGTAATTGGTGGAGTGGTAAGGAGGATTTGGGGGTGTTGCTTCATCTCCTGGAGCTTGCGAGCAATTTAGTCCTATCAATTTGAGAGCGATCAATTGCCTCTTGCTGGGAAATGTCTGTGGTAGCAATAAATCCTGGGAATTAGGAGAATGACAAAATCTGTCCTTGGAGAAAGCCTGGAGATCTGGATTGTCATGCACCGGGAGGCATCTCCTGGCTTTGGGAACCCCGGATAATTCTCCTGGTGACTCTGTGTGAGAAGGCCGGAAAACCAAAGAGGTGCAAGAGAGGGAGGAGTAGGATAACGGGGAGGCCTGACCATGAGCAGCCTTCCAGATACGCTTCCTCAGGCCGTGATTTCATCGTATTAATTTCTAGCAAGTCCTTGTAGGCCCCGCGCAGGTTGTCCTGCTGTCCCAGGCACTCAGGGTGGATTTCTGGCAGATTAAGGTGACCATAAAGCCACAGGCTAATTAGATTTGCAAATATTTGAAACTGACTGAAAATGCACTTGGCCAGTGATCCATCCAGACTGGTTTCTGCAAACTGCTTGTTCCCGGCTGCTCCAGTATTTAGTCAACGGGCAACAGGACTGATTTTGGGGTATTCTTTTCTGAATATTTGTTACAGTGTTTTGGCTACATGAATGATTTGATTACAGCAATTTCCAGCGATACTCCCCCCGTTAGCTGAAGGCCTCAGGAAGAACCTCACCTTTCTCCCTTGCTAGGCTGCAGGGTCCAACCTGTCCTGGGCAGAAGCTAAGGAGACTTTATTTTCTGCTGCATTTTTCAGATTTAAAGAGATTGGTTTGCTTCTGAAAAATCCCACCCAGCATTTACACAGCAGTGCTTTGGGAGCATCCCATTTCTGATCATCCCTTCCTCTGTGCATTGCTCTCTGCGCAGCAGACATCTCCGCGGGATGGGTGTCCTGCTCAGAAATAACTTACTTTTCACCACTTCTCTTGTGCCATGCATGAGCTCACAGTACTGAGAGACAAAGTCACAGTCATATCCAGGGCTGAAAAGCTTGCAGTGTTTATTTTTGTATGTATACAACCAGTTCCAAGGAAAGATCAGAGTAGATGGGTCATGCAGGAGAAACTCCTCCTCAAGAGCCCTGTCATTGCCAGAGCAGCAGGGGAGACAGAGCTTCACCTTCCATTAATGTTACCAGGACACGTGAGTCTCCATCTCCTAGTTTTCCTGTAAAGATCTCAAGAAAACATCAGTTAAATGTCAAAGTTGGTTTCCATTTATAAACAGAACTAATTATATTCAGAAGATCTAGGTCACTTTTCATCCGGCTGAAGAGCCCTGCTGGAGTATTGCCCTGTTTTATTTGTTTTGAGAACGTGCCCTGCATATTGCACGCTGCAGTTTATATATTTCTGGGGTAATCTGCCTGGATATCAGACCTGAGGGTGCTTTAAGGCTGTTAAGAGCAGAAGCAGAGCTCCCGCGTGGGGCTGCCGGGCTCCTCTTCCCTCTCTGCCCAGCGGAACCTTCCCCCCGCTCTCCCGGCGTGTCTCCTGCTTTGGGAAGTGGCCCACTCTTGCCAGGGAATATTTTTTGCAAGGCTAAAAGGTGCTTAAGGACTGTATTATGTAACATAGATAGCACTTACTTGGAACGGGCACAAATTATGATTTATGGTACCTGCTGAGTGCTTGTCTAGAGAAAGTTAAAATGTCATGCGAAGAAATGGAGAAGTAAACAGGTCTTGTTACTTTGATCAAATATGTTGCTGAATAGAGCAGGAGTTTTATATTTAGCTTTATCCCCCGTTAGTGTAATCTGCTCTCGGAGCTCTTTATGCGTAGACTTTCCTCAGATCTGGAACAGCGACTGCCCTTCTTTGCCAGCAGTTTCAAAGTCAAATATCCCAAGTGCTAGGTAATGGAAGACGTGCTTTTGTCTGAGCCGGGAGGAAATTCGAATGTACTGCAAGGGTGGAGCAAGTGATAGTACCTCCTTGGCAAGCAGGCCCTTGTTATTATCACATGCTGTTTGCTTATACGAGCGGCCCAGCTCACGGAACAAGTTTCCGGACTTCCACCCATTTCACTTAAACATAAGGAGGAGGCTCCTCCTGGAGCCAGTTTATCCTGCGGTCTCGCTTGCCTCTTATCTCTAGCTGGAGTCAGGCCCTTCTGCAGGCCCCGTGAGCCTCTCCAGATGCGCCAGTGCCTCTCTCCAAACATGCATCGAGCAAGATGGGGTTTGTTTCCTTATCTCTTCGGAAATGCGGGATTGGGCTGGTTAGCAGAGGCCCCTGCTCTATGTAAACTCCTCTCTGAGGTTTTCATCTTGTCAAATGCTTCTTTTTGGTATAGAACTGGTTTGGTTCCCAGCCTGCTCCTCATGTGACCCAGCCCCTGGGGGACGATGCTTGGCTTCAAGCGCTGTTGCAGCCAAGTTGCAAGACTCTCTGCTCCCCGATCCAGCAGACATTGAGTTATTTCAGTTTCAAATTGCTCAAGGTTTTTTCTTGTAAAAGTTGCTTTTGACATTTGTTGCACAGTATCTTCTCTGCAGCTTCTGTTTTTCTCTGGTGTTGCTAAATGATGGGGCTGAGCAGATTAGGAAATGGATTTCCTCTTCCAAGAGAGCACGTAACTATATGCGCTGACGCGTGGTTTTACCCAGCTGGTGCTGCCCATGGTGTAAAGCCCATGAATTGGGGCTGGGCATTCTTAAAAATTTTGGTAGAGATTGCTGGCTTTGGCTATCAAATCTCTGCTACAGCCAAGGATACAACTTGGGGTGCGGACCATCACCTGTGTAGAGATCACATAGAAGTGCAGGCATGGAGAAGTCCATCCTTTTGGTGGTGAATTAAAAGGAGAGTAAAACTTACTGTCATCTTGGATCCAACCATCCCAAGTTTAGTTTTATCCATATTATGATATCTGGGAGTTTTCTTGCTGAAAGAAATACGCCTACAGCCCCTTCCCTGGAGCTGGGAGCCTGTGTCCTTCATCAAAGGCTGGAAATTTCCAGGTCCTCATTCCATGCTTCTTGGTGATCATTCCATGCTAACACTGCGTCCCTGATGGCCAAGGATAAGTGGATAGAGTTTCACGTGATACAGGAAATGGCTCGTAGCTTGCTGATTCCTCTGCTTCCTGTTGATTTCATGGAAAGAGCAGGCACCTCATTTCTTAGCTTCCAGGAGGAGCGAAGGTGTGAGCAAACCTGGATGCCCAAGCCCCTGGGTAGCAGTCTTTGCTGGTCTGGCTGGTGCTATTTAGGGTTACCTGGTATGAGATTGGTCTGGCTGCTTGTTTTAAAGCATCCTGTGGTGTCACAGTACACATCCATCCTCACTCTGCTTAGGATTTGCATTCTGCAAAGAATTTTGTTCTGGTCATTAAAAAATGAAGATCTATGCTGCAATCTTAAAATCCAGATTGTGTGCAGCGATGTTCGAGACTGAGCTCTTTGCAGGGAAGTTGGTGGGCACGGGGGTAGCAGAGGGTCGAGGGCTCCTGGCTGCGTTACTGCCTGGCAGTGCTGAACACACCACGGCTGAAGGGCCGCCCTGCAGTGGCTCCCTTCGTGCCAGGGTAATTTGTCTGCCCCATTCCAGCTACGGGATCAAAGGGTCTGAGAAAATGACATTGCATTTGCTGGATATTGTGTGTTAATAAAGTTGGATATGCAGATAATGTAGGAAGGGCAGTGCAATAAAGAATTGCTGTGATTAATACTTCTGATTTCTTATTTTTCATTGAAGCTGGCCTCTGCCGGAGTTCGACCCAAGTCAGATCCGACTGATTGTGTATCAGGACTGTGAAAGAAGAGGGCGCAATGTCTTATTCGACTCCAGTGCTAAAAGGAAAATAGAGGATGTTTCAGTGTCGGTGAGTATTTTAATAATTCACGTGCTTACGTTCCATATGTTTTTTAAGATAGCGATTGGTAACTCATAAATTCTCTGCTTCATTCATATTAATGTTTAAACTTTGGTTATATTCAGGGGCAAATATAAGTGTGTATTAAATTGCAAATGATTCAAGCTTCAGTGATTTCACCCTACCACTTTAAATACTGTAGTGATGTTTGTTCCTGGGCTCTTCTACTTTCTGTCCTTGCAAAGAGAGGGCTTCCCCCATGGCTGCAGGGGGCAATGAATTTGGTGAATTTGGTATTTATTGAAAGGGTTTTGTGGCGTGGCTGCTCTCCGTCGCGGGGTCTGCCTTCCCATTTGGAAAGTCCTCCTGGTCCTGTCTCCTACCTTGTCCTGCTTGCTCAGCTTTTACCAACTGTTGTTTCCAACTGCTGGCCCATAGTTACTTGAAAACTTTTCTTTTGGGCTTTCCGTTTGGCATGGTCTATTCGGTAAACTACTAATTGAACTCGCAATGGATACAGCCGGATGAGGATATTTCTAAGCAGGGACTCTGGCCACAAGATCTCATTTCTAGCCACAGTGTTACTCTAAGTGATTCTGTGAGCTTGGACACTTTAACTGCTTTGAACTTCCTTCTCCCCTTCTCCAGAAACACTTGCAAAGTGTTTTAGCTCTCGAAGCACAAAGCACTGTGTAAACTGAAACTCGTGATCACAGTTGCTTTATCCCATAGGACCGCATGAAGTCCTGTAAGTGGGAGTACACAAAATAACATTTTACCCTGAGTCCTGATTTTCATTTTGAATGTTGGAGGATAGCCAGAATATTCTTCATGCAGTGCTGAACGCTCTCCAGCCTGTTGCTGAATGCTGCCAGCCTGGTGCTCCTCACCCTGATCCTCAGCTCCCTCCACATACTTGATCTGCTGGGAGCCAATCTGTGGGTCATGGGCACTGATCTTCTTTAGTTTCCATAGCATATTTGCAGACACAAATCCCATTTTCCTTGTTCTTTTTGAGAATTTGGGAGGTGCATCTTTTTTAAATTTAACTTGTTAGCATGGCTTTATTAATTTGTAAGTTTCTATTCCTGTCGGCGTTCAGGTGTTCTTGCCAGGAAAACAGAGGTTTTTATAGGCAAGAGGTCTTTGAAGAGGTTGTTGATATGAGTAATTTGCACTGCTTATTACTATTGCTTTATTAACAGATAAAGCTTTGTACACTATGTATATTTTTATTGATTTCTTGAAGGCTTAAAATCCCTTTAAGATAGATCTGTATTTGTAGAGTGAATCACAGGATCACAGAATGGTTGAGGTTGGCAGGGAGCTCTCGAGATCATCCAGTCCAGCCCCCTGCTCCAGCAGGGACACCCAGAGCACAGGGCAGCACCAGGCGGATTTGAAGATCTCCAGGGAAGGAGACTCCACAGCCTCTCTGAGCAGCCTGTGCCAGGGCTCTGGCACCCTCACAGGAGAGAAGTTCTTCCTCACATGGAGACGGAACTGCCTGGGTTTCAATTTGTACCCAAAATTTGCAGGCTGATCTTCTTGGGTTTGTTTCAGAAAGGTAGTTTACTGTGACAGCTTATTAGCAGCCGAATAAATGGCTAATAATGAATCTAGTCTGGTTCCATATTAAACGCTTCTTTATTTTTCTTAATTAAAGGGGAAGGTGAGTGGAGGGGAATAATCAGCTGCATTCACTGTTCCTATGAGATGAGTGTGTGAGGCTGCTGGAGGAAGACTGGTCCCAAACTAGTTGAAATGCTCAGTATGAGTCTATGGTAACTTGATATATTTCTCTTTTTTTGGTCATATTAACAGACTTTGAAAAAGTACACTTTGAACTATTTCCCTGCCATGATATCCACCTTCTGCAGCACTCAGATAGTGTCATCTCAGGCAAAACTTTCCTCACAAAATAATAAATAAATAAATAAATAACCCCCACCCCCCCTTTGCATCAGCAGAAACTTTATGCAGGTAAAAACGTGCACGAGAGTCTTGGGCTGAGCTTGCTGCAAGCTCAGTACAGGCCTGTACAGTTAGCAGAACATACTGGCCATTTTCAAGGAATCGCATTGTTTATTTTTCTTGCTCTTTATCACGATTTTCATTAACAAAGACACACCCTGCCTATACAAAGCCAGATCTTGGCTCTAAGCACATTCCAAGGCACTCTTGCCCTTTGCAGCAAGACGTGTGTGGGCTGGGTGCTCTCCCTCGTGAAAGGGTATCTGTTAACAGCCTCACAAAAGCCAATGCTTTCTGCATCTCACCCCCCAGTTTCCTAACGTGATTTATACCTCTGCGTTTATAAATAGCCTATGGGTGATATCTGCAAAAATGCCAAGCAGTGGCCCCGGCTGCTCTGATCACAGTCTGTCTAATGCGGGGAAGCTGCACGCAAGGTGCCACTTTTTGGATCTTGCCAGCTATGCAACAGCTCTTGGTTTCTGAGAAGTGCAATGAAATGGTTTCACTGAAAGCCGTCATAATTTGCGAGTCATATGCCTGAAGTAAGGCGAGATACACTTTGCTCTGCTCTATATATCTGTAATCTCAGTATATGTCAAGAGTTGTGTGCAGCAGACCAAGGCCAAATATGACTCAGCCATTCAAATTCCGTAACTTGCAATATTTAAGGCACATCAGAGGAAACTCTTCCTGAGTTTCAGATGTAAAATGTCAGGTTTTCACTTTTTGCTGGATGAAGAACGCTGAGCAGGTGTGTGGCCGGGGTCTGCAGCTGCTCCTCCTGCCTCGGGAGCACCCAAGCCCTTCCTGGGCTCTCCTCAGCCCTGTGACCGGGCGTCATGGGCACACGCATCGGGAGAGAGCGTGTGACAGGAGCAGCCAGCGGCGCTCACGCCTTCACCAAACAGCCCAGCTCCGCACGCAAATCCACCTCCCTGCCCCCCTCCCTGGGGTTTTCTCGCTTTCTGGCATCTCGAATCATAGAATCATTGTGGTTGGAAAAGGCTTTGAGATCATCGAGTCCAACCGTGAGCCCATCACCACCATCCTGCTAAACCGTGTCCCTAAGCACCTCATCTGTGAGTTTCTTGGGCACTGCCAGGGACGGGGACTCCACTGCTGCCCTGCGCAGCCTGTTCCAAGGCTTCACCACTCTTTTCGTGTAGCAATTTTTCCTAATATCCAACCTGAGCCTCCCCTGGTGCAACCTGAGGATTTGAAGCTGGCAAGCTGGTGGCTCGGCTTCGCAGTCTCCTCTGCAGAACCGTTTCTTTTGGGACCCCACGCGGACGAGCGCCTCGTTTCTGACCATGTCACTAGCTCTGCAGGGGATGGTGCTGAGGCCCATGACTGGTTTGGGCAGGTCAGGCTCATTTCTGCCTCTATTCGCTCTTCCTACAGCACCTCCCCACCTGCTTTTGCTCGCTGTAGCCACCAGCTCCGCTGCGACGTGGTGAGCGCGCCAGGCCCGGGGCAGGCCCGCCTGGGCAGCGCGTCCCCTCCTTGGGCTGTGCCAAGCGCTCAGGGCGTGCGTGGCCCCAGCTGCTCCTTGGGGTTCCCCCACTGGGCCCGCTCTGGGCTCCCCGTCAAGCGTGGCAGGCAGCACCGCTCCTCTCCGAGGCGGCCCAGGCCCTGCCGTGCGCGGCGCTGCGCGCGAGCGCTTGGCTTGTCAACCCTGACGCCGCGTCGCGCCGGCCGAGCTGGGTACCGCGCAGCCGGCAGCAGCAGCGTGCTGAGGACGTGAGTGTCGCCATGCAGAGACTGCTTGAAACGGAGGTTTCTGCCTCAAGGGTCTGGAAAGCAATGGGGTGAGGAAGTTGCAGGAATGGGATGAGGATGCCGCAAGGGAGAAGCGAGGAGTCAAGCGAGGAAGAAGCTGGAGGGGAACGCGCGCCAGCACTTCACTCCGAGCAGATGAATGAGCTTGTTGTTGTTGTTTGGGGGTATTTTTAGCTGCTGGTTTAGCTATTTGTTTTCTTCTGGTGTTGTCTGCTGGTGGTTTGCGCCAGGAGAATTCACCCTTAGAGACCTGAGCAGAGGGAGGTGCTGGCAGCCTGCAAGAAGCCGAAAAGTTTCAGGGTGTGAAGGTCAGCGTCGAGGGAGCTGTGGAGCCGGCGGAGGAGGAGGAGTATGAAGGGGCCAGAGAAAAGCCAAAGAGCAGGGAGGAAGACAAGAGCCCAATGGGGTTGGTGCCGAGCCGGGATCGGGCGCCTGCGCAGTGCCTGCGGCGAGCGGGAAAAGCCAAGGGCGCGAAAGAGGGAAGTGGCTCCTTTCCATGAGGCACAGAAGGATTGCCAGAAGCAGTTTTTTTGGAAGAAATGAAAGAGAGGGGGATTTTTGAAAGGGGTTGGAGAAGAAAAAGCTTCTATAGCCCAACTGAGGGAGTGGAGATGCCAAGGAGCAGGGGTTGAGCCTGAGGGGTGCAACTTTAAAGAAAGAGAATGGGGTTGGATTCAGGAAGCAAGAAGTTCAATTCTGCAAAGTCACTTGGTTGCTTTTAATTTGGGATGATTCACCTGAAAGGTCCTATGATATTTGATCTGCTATTGTGGCAATTTCTTTGACTCCCCATGTCTCACTTATCCGAAAGCATTAAATTAGCATGCTGTTTTAAAGGAGCCAGGACTAGTCCCGTGTCCCGTGCACTGCAGCGCTGGATAAATGTTGAACAGCAAATTGCTGGGGAGATTAGTAATGGGATAGGGAGCCTTTTGCCTTTGGGTGACTTGTGTGTGTGGCAGGCCGTGGTCTCTCCATGGACAAGGTTTCCAGGGAGCCAAGGGGATGGATAAGGCAGCCAGTGATAAGTAGATAAGGTGGGATGGAGTCCCACCTTCTGAGCTCTGCTTGTGCTCTCTGGAGTGCAGTGGCAGGGTAACAGCGGGGTACCAGAGAGATGTCTTTACTTCTTTCATTGAACTCTGAATAGTAGAGGAACTTAACTCTGCAAATGAAGTGAAAATGTAGCACTAGTGACAGCTCTCTCTTAAAAAAGATACCTGGATTTTGCTGTGCCACTCAAGGGGGAGGGAGGAATGCCAGGGCAAGTGATCCCCATGTCCTAGGCAGATGCGTATTTAATTACACGTTCAGACCATCGTTGTATTTATAAAGCACAGCAGTAAGTTCATCTATTCTGGCAGAGTTTTTCAGCTATGTGAAGCCCCCCTTGCTGACTAGCCCGTTCCAGCAACGAGTTCCAGACTCCTGGGGGACAGCAACTGTATTTTGATACGGAGGCTTCTCAGTCACCGCCACCGCAGTGGTCTTTGAGCACCTGCTGCTGCAGGAAGGTAACAAAGAGTAAAGCACATGATGACAGTTGTCTCCTGTGCTGTCACCACAGCCCCTAACACGCATGCACATGGTCTGGATTTAGTTCAACACACCAGGCTCCTCTGAGCTGTCTAGGAGACTCTCACTGTCCCCAAAGTACAACGTGCCCAGTAGAAATTCCTCCTTTTCCAAGCTCCTGTGCTCAGTGCAGTGGATGTGCCTTCCTGGTGAGGGTTTTACAGCCACAACCATGTGCCTTTTGGGGTTCACCAGCAGCACTGTGCTCAGAGAGCTGCTGTATTGCAGTGAGGTGCATTTGGAAGGAATTCCCACAAGTTCTGTATCTCCCCTGCACAGTTTTAAAATAATTTGGTTACCTTTTTATGTTTGGAAACCTAACTTGAGTATGTTTGCAATATTATACTGGAATACAAGTCATCCCACTCCTTTGTTGTCTTGTGTCTCAAGACCTGGGGCATCTAAAATTACCTTGACGTTTGGAGGCAGCAGTTACAGAGGAAAGGAGTGTTGCAGATACTCCATCAAATAGTCCAACAGGTTATTCCTAAGAACATATGAAGCTTCAGAAAGAGCAAACACTCAGATTTGTCAGTGTCCTGCATTTTAGGGATGATTTACTGTTTGCAAGGTTCTGACAGGTGGTATTGGAAAGGTCCTGAACATCTGACCTCTTGGTTCAGTAAATTCCCCTGCAAAGACCTAACAAGAATGTGCCTCTGGTTTTTACATTAGGCTACTATAACTTCAAGCTATCTTGCTCTTCAGTGGATTTAGGGTAAGCTTTTATGGTGAAAAATGCAGCACCAATGACAAGAAATTACCAAAAAGTCAATAATTTGCAAATTTAGCTTCTTTTTAAATGCACAGATTTTTTTTTTTTCCACTCGTGGAAATGATTTAATGGCCTCGCAACCTCAGGCAAGCTTAATTAAAGTAGTATCTTTTTAAGGGAACTTTCAACATCCGATGGAAAATGCAAGCTGAAATGCGGTTTGCCTGCAAAAGCTTCTGTAACCCTGTGGATTTTATGTGGTTTTATCACATGATGCTTGCTTAGCCTAGGACATTGTTGTTTGTGTCAGAGATAAAATGCAATTCTGGTTCACGAGTTCCTACTAAAGTCATATGATTATCATTCACATGCTCCAGCCATTGTGTACTGTGCTCGCGCCACGGATATTAGCCATTAACGAAGCTGCGCGTTGCGGGAGTTCAGCGTCCTCGCCGGGATGTCACGCTGGGAGGCTGCCGCGGTGCAAGGGTGCGCACGGAGGTAGAGCACGGCACGCGGAGGCTGCTGCACGTTGCCTTTCCCCTCTGCCACAGAATTACTGACTTGTCTGCACATTTTTCCCGGAGGCTTTCGGCGGCGGCCGCGCTCTAATTGGAGCAGCAGTGCGAGCTGCCGCGTGGAGCTAGATAATCCCTGACATTTTCTGCTGTTTCGCCTAGCTCTCGCCCACTGCTAGGGCCAGATGAAAGCCACCTGGTATCCAAGGTGTTCCCTCAAAAAAAGCAACCAGCACAGCTGAGGCCAGAGATGTGAGATTCCCAACTTCCTCCCCAGCAAAGGAGGGCAGCGTGGGCTGTCGTCTTCCCTCCCCAAAGTGGGCTTGGTGGTGCAGGAAGCAGGAGCGTGTCCGCTGAGGTCTTTGCTGCATGGCTTGGCATTTTTTCTCATCCTGCAAAATAGACAGTTGCTGCTGGCTCTGTTGAGCAGTCGTGAAGTTAATAGCCTGGTGAGATGCAGGTGGGATTGCACACCTTTCCTGTTCTACCTTTTCCTTTTCTGTAGCGCTAGTAAGAATTGAGCCATTCTTATGTTTTTAAATGATGCAGAGCCGCGAGTTCGGAGGCAAAGCCAGGACACGCGGCACCTTTGCATTTCCCTGCGTCCCCTGAACCCGCTTCCCGCACGCTTTGCTTCCAGGCTGCTCTCCTGGTTAGGTGATTGCAAAGGAAATGTTAATCACAAAAGTCTTAGGGCCTAGTTAGTGAGTGACTTGGAGCAGTGTAGACATCTTTCTGTCTCTGAATGCTGCCCACCAGTAAACATGCATACTGTCAGCCTGATACCTGTGCTCTGAAGTGCTGCGAGTACCCGAGGGTAATGGCATTAGCAACTGTGTGCTTGTTCTCTGGTGAATCTGGGGTGTGCAGGGGAAATCACAGATGCTCTTAAATACTGAACACAGCCATGGCAAAGCATCTCTAGCGCCAGTTTACAGGGGTTGTTGTGTGTGCAGCCCTGCAAAGGTCTGAATGCTTCTGTACTTCAATTCCAATTCTCAATTTCAGCCTTGTTTTCTCCTAACTCCTTTTTTTGCAACTCTTTGCTTGAATCTCATATCAGGAAGGGACCTATCCTGCTTGGAACTTCTTTCCTCTGCCCCTTTGGGAAACTTTCCTCACTTCTCCCTGCCACTAGCTGGGTTCTCAGCTTTGTCCTTGTGCGGTCTTAGGATGCATTTTTATTGGAAAAGGAAAACATCACCCCTGCACCACTCTTCCAAAAGACCTGGGGATTTAGGCACAGCTAGGAGGAGATCTGTAAGAATAACAGCACTTCTCGCTGCTTCTCCCCATGACAAGGGCCTGTTCTGAATTCTCCTGCTGGGTGATTCCTCATCTGGGCGCAGCAGAGCGCTCCGGCCGCGGTGCGGCTGGCACCGCTCTGCAAACTCTGCCCCACTGGGCACCCGGCGCCGTGCACAGGTGGCACCCGCGTCCCACCCTCCCGCACGCTCCCTGCCCTGCCACCCTTTCCCGTAATCCCGGGCCTAAAGCTGAGCCTCGTCGAGTCCCAGAGGCGGGCAGCCCCTTAGCAAGATGGAGCGACCTGGTAGCTCCTCGCTAAAGCCCAGCCGCAGGAGACTGGTACATACTGTTAACCCTGCTCCGGAGGCACGTGCTTTTCTGCTGTTAAATGTCTTAAGTAGCAAGTGCAGCACTGCTAAGTGGTGATTTTGTGGCTGCGGGTCTTCATGTCAACACATATGTCTGTATTTCAGAAACTCTGCAGTGATGCTCAGGTGAGGGTTTTCGGGAAATGTTGCCAGCTGAAGCCTGGAGGAGACAGCTCTTCTTCCCTGGATAGTTCAATCAATTCATCCTCCTCCTTCTCTGATGCAAAAGAGCAATGTCCGAAATACCAGGTGAGTCACCTCTCTTTTTCCTATTTTTGCTTTAACCCTGTCAAATTGTTGTGGTAGGTGAGGTAGTGAACGTTGTAAAATGCTTGAAATTAGAGGTGGGATGTGGAGAATTTTGAGTCAGAATTAGACTTTGGTTCCAACTGAATAATATTTTCACCCTATGGCTTGGGGTTTGAACAACCCTAAAACCAACTGACTGATTCTCTCAGATGTGTACTGGACGGTGGGAGTTTCTCTAGGGCCCTCGTCATGTCTTGACCACGAGGATGGCGTTCCTTCAGCATGGGCAGCCTTGGCACAACGCCGGCCACTCTGAAGGATGTTCTTCTTTCAGAGAAGCCCAAATCTTCAGTTATTCCCTTTCTTAGGAACTAACCTTGAGGTCTGAGGTGTAGTCGCAAATGACAATATCCATATGTGGTCTAGATGAAGTAATTTATTGCAAAGTGCCAGGGAAGCAATGCAGAAAGGCACTACCTAGAGGGACAGTGAGGGATTCAGTGAACCTGGGCTATGTTTTACATAAGAGATTTTGGCCATGAGAGTAGCTGGAGTCATCTGACACAGATATATTTCTGTCATCTCTCCTTCCATGGATCACAAGTGTTTTATATTAAGCCAGCCTAAAATAGAAGTAAGTCCTTGCACTCTTTGTAATGAAGTAATTGTGTGTTTGAGGGAAGCTGCTATGTGCACCGCATAGTCTGGAGTACAGTACTGCTGATGTCTTCATCTGTCACAGACAGAAATGCGGGACCTTTGGGCTGCCTTTCCCCCATCACGTTAGCTGTCACTACGTTGGGCGAGCTGCATATTCTTCTTGTTTTCTCTTTCTTGTCACACGCCTTTCCACGGTGCTAGTAAGGCGGCAGAAGCTCGTTTTTCTATTCCTCCCTTCCTGGAAGGGTGCTCAGCTGTGGTTATGAGAGGAAGAGACGTGTCATGTCTGTCAGCGTCTTCCTTCCAGCACAAAACAACCTCCTTCGCGCGCCGCGCGACCGCGCAGAGCGATGCCCGTCCATGAGCAGGAATCGCCGTCCCCGCGGGCCCTGCAGGCCGCTCGTGCTCGCGGTTGGCATGGCGACGTCCCTTCACGTTGCCCGGCCAGGCCCGGTTTCCTCACGCGCTCCTGCTGCCTCCCGCGCTCCTCCCGGCCAGCAAGGACCCCGAAATACGGGAGCTTTCCCTGCGTGAGGAAACACAGAACGTCACACGGGCAGCAGGGCCCCGGTGAGCCTGTCCAGGCAGCGGCCAGCCCGGCGTCTCCTACCTTGCCCAGCTGCTCGGTTTTGAGACCTCAGAATCCTCCTCGTGTTTAATGCAGTCACAGCACATATGAGGTGCTCCTGTGTGTGTATATATGCATGCGTGTGTTTTCAACATACCCTGCTAGTAAACCTTTTAAAATAGTTCTTTGTATGCTTAAATGTTTCAATAGACATGACTATTACGGGTTATTCTAGTTGTTCTATGGAAGATGAGCTACAGGGTTTTCTTCCAGGCCTCCATGCAGGATTTGTGATCGTGTTCTCCCAGATCCCTCACAAATGTGATTAGAATCTATTAAAATGAAGCTGAGTCTGGTTCTGGAGTTGCCCGCAGTTATTTGCGTGCCGTGACAGCAGCGTTCCCGCTGGAGCCGCTGCCAGCGCTTCCAGGACTGTAAATCTGCTTTTCCAGGCTGACTGTTTGATCATGACATTTGAGATTTATTTCTGTATTGCATTTTTAATTTAGATACTTACTTGCTTATCGATGGGACAACATGTAAAGTAAGTGGGAGATTAAATGCTATGAATTTTATATTCAGAAATGTAACTTCCAAATCATGTAAATTTTACTACCTCTAATATGCTAATGTACAATAACAAACACTCGTGGGTATTTTATGATCAGTTTTTATGTGAGCTCGTAAATATGACCTAGGGAGTTGGTTTGCGTCCAGGCTGTCAGTGCCTGGGGTTGTGCCCTTTTTGCCAGATGCTCTTTGGCTATTTTTCATTTGAGCTTTTAATTTTTAACCCCCTTCCTCAGCTGATTGCACTCTACTTTGGTCTGGAGTGACCTTTATTTTGTAGAATTAAAGGCTCAAAGAGCTGAGCTGGAGCAGTGTTTCTGTATTACATATGGGCATCTGCTGTTAGGCATGGTAAAATCATTGCCATTAGACGTCGATGAAATGCCCAACAGAGACAGCCCACGGCTGCATCTCGTCACCCGCTTTGTCTTTAGCCTTGCTCCTCTCTTTCAGCCTTTCAGAGGGAAGGAAAACCCCTATAATTAAGTTTGAAAGCAGCTGATTTTCACTTGCGTTTCTCTCTTTTTTTATTTTTAATTCAGTTTCTTGACAAGGAGAATGGATATTTTTTTTTAAAGTATTTTTTCCCTGCTTTAGAATTAGATGTTCACACTAGCAGAAAGTTGAAACCAAAACCAGCCATCAAGGGTTTGACATTTATTCAGAATGACTTTTCAATTTGAGGTCTGCAATGAATTTAAAAATAATCATCGTAATATTTGGCTGCAGCAATTTGCAGCGTTCTTAAATCAAGACTCTCACAGACCTGTCATTTCCTAGAGCCATTAACATCCCTACTCCGGTTTCCTTGGAGTTTCTGGGAGTGAAGATGGGAATTTTTCTGGGACCCAGCCAGAGAGCTGGCTTTGCCCTGTCATTGGAACACTAACAGAACTTGGGTTTATATCCTCATTTTTGGAGCTGTGGCTGCTCCTTCTCTCCATGCCCCGTGTTTGCGACGCTGGCAGCAGGCTCTGGCGTTGACGCTCTGTGTGTTGAAGTGCCCCTGTCTGAACCAGGAGTGCTGGGGAAGAGCTAAAAATCGAGCTGTGTTTCGAGCATGCGGCCTCCTAGAAACCCGGCGCTGGCTGCTTCTTGCCACGGGGCTAGCACAGGCAGGGCCTGCGAGCGGCCGTTCCGTACCCGTTCCCGGTGCGGATCTGCGGTGTGGACACCCTGTCCTTGGCCAGGCTCCACACGCAGGGATATTCCTGCGGGCAAATCGCGGCGCTGCTGGGCCGGCACCAGAGCTGCAGGGCCAGCGGTACCACGAGCTGGGCCCGACCGTCCCAGCAGTGCAGGGTCCCTGCGAGCAGATCACCGGGGGTTTTGCCCTGCTTGTTTTCGTGTCTCTGCTCAAGCAGATACAAGGCTTCGGCTCAGTGCTCCTCGATCAGAAAGCGTGTCAGCCGCCCCGAACGTTAAACTTTTTTGTCCTGCTGACTCAGTGCCGTTTACATCTGCAGCTCCCCAGGAGATGGCTTGGGTTTGTTGGATGACTTCAGTATTTAGTTCACAGACAATTGTGCACTACTACTTTTATGGAACCGTTTAATTTAGCAGTACAAACAGCAGTACAAACAAAGCGAGCAAGCTTTTTTTTTAATCTTTATAAAAAATATATATTTTCCTTAATCATATATTGCCTTAAATAAAAACGTGCTTCTAAAATGCTTGACACACATGGGCGTTCTCTATTTTTCCCAGGGTTCTCGATGCTCCTCTGATGCTAATATGCTTGGAGAGATGATGTTCGGCTCTGTGGCCATGAGTTACAAGGGCTCCACGTTGAAAATTCACCAGATTCGGTAAGATTCATTTTTACTGCTAATCTTTTAAGAAGATTGACTCCTTAGCGCTAATATGCATTGAATTGAAGGCGACAAGTGTGGAGTTTGAGGAATTTCTAGGCCTGCTTTATAGTTATTCTGACGTTACTTTTGACACAAAATGTGTTTGAGTCATGTTTAGATCTGTAAAATAAGGAGGTATGTGAAGTGGCAATGAAAGCAGCTCTTGGCGCCGTGTTTCTGACCGATCTTCCTTTCTGGCCCCTAGCTCACCTCCTCAGCTCATGCTCAGCAAGGTTTTCACCGCTCGCACTGGAAGTAGCATCTATGGCAGTCTAAACACGTGAGTGCATTGCAAGGGACACCTGGCAAATACGGGCAAATCTGAATGCAAGAATGCAGAACATTATTTTGAGAGCTTCCAGATACCTTTTCTGGAAAAATAAGCTTTTGTGTCCTCCTCTGTTATACCCTGTCACTAGTGTCCTCACTTTTTTCTCTTAGTAGTCTTCCTATCGGCTTGCTTTAGGTGAAAGAATGAACCCGTTGCTTCAGAGCCGATGGGGTAGAGCCTGGGGTTGCAAGGCACAAAGTACCTGCACCTGCCCACGGGCCGGGTTGGGGGCAGACTGTTGCAGCTGGTGGCTTCAACCCGTGGTGATGAAAAAGACATTACAAAAATTTCCATTTTTAGACTCTAATGTTCAGTCTTCTGTGTGTTAGTTCAGCTCTGCACAGGGCCTAGGCTATGAAAGCTTCTTCCAGTGGAAGTCCAACTTCTTTTCTTGCATGTTCCACTGAGGCAAAAAAAAATCTCCTCTTTTATACAGAAATGCAAATTGTTTGGTTTGCTATGTGCTTTATTTTCTGGGTTTTTCTTTTAGGCTGCAAGACAGTCTTGAGTTCATTAATCAAGACAGCAATACGTTAAAGCCTGACCACAGTACAATTATGAATGGACTTCTTGGAAATATAGGTAATGACAAACAGATTTTATTTCCTGGTATCTCTAACTGAGTAATCGCAGATTCTAGAATATGAAAGTTGCCTTCTTAAAAGAATCAGATGGAAAGATAGGAGAGCTAAAGCCTCTACAGAAAATTAATGTTGGTCGGGCTTGGGGGACTGTAAATCAGACAGTTCAGGGAATTAGCAGGGGCTCAGCATGTACACACACATATATATAACTGTACACACACACATATCTAAAAATACAGGTGGATATATTTAAGTTCAAATGCAGAAGATGTTGGAAGACAGCAGTCTGTCAAACTCTCTTTAAGCAGCACATCTCAAATCAAGCAGGACTGATTCTGCCTGGTTGTTTCTCAGTTTTTACTCTGTTTTTTTTTTTTTTTTTTTTTGAGAAAATGAAATAGAATTTTATTCTTGTTAATAATTTTCTTGTGTCCAGTATTCTCTGTCGGCCACTTGAGTGCATGTGGCCACATGTTCCATGCTGGTTAACCTTGCACAGTTGTGATGTAGCTTTTGATTGGTTTGAAGAGCTTTTTTCTTTTTTTTTTTTGGTCTGGTCTTGGAAATTAAGAGAACTTGAAAATCCATCCTGAATCTTAGGTGGGCCTCAGCTGTCCAGGGCAGCGGCCTGATGAAGTCTTCAGCACGTCCTGCCTTCCCCTTGGTTTAGGCTGAATACTTTCCAATCAAAAGTCTGTAATAATAGCTGGAATAAGGGATGTCTTATATGGTGTTTATATTTGCTGTCCAGAATATTGCTCTATGTGGAGTATGTTTCTTTTTACTACAGTTTGAAGAAGTGAATTTGATTACTTTGTTATTCTAAGTGGGTTTCTGGCTTTGATATGGTCCGAATTCTCCTTGGGTCTAAGCCTTTCCTTCCTTCCCATTGACAACACTGTGTTTCTGAGCTGAGTGTGGGCTTCCCAGGCTCCAAAGCTGTTTAACTTCCTAAAACCATCCCCAACGGTTCAGTCCTAAGGGAAGCTAAGTCATGCTGGAAGCTGCTATTATCCATTAACACTTGCTGCCTTTACTAAGTCAAGGAATTTACAAAGACGCCTTTTTCTCTTTCGTATGCCCCCTTCTCCCAGCCTTCAGTTGTGATTTTTCCCCATGCTGCACTGAGTTAGATGCCCAAATTTGTGCAGGAGAGGAAATTATTCATTTATTTCCAAGGACTTTGCTGTGCGGCTGTGGTTTGTGCTGACAGAGAAGGGTTTGATCAACTGTATGAACTAAGGAAGAGCAGGGATGTTGCAGCGAGTGGGCAGGACTGCAGGCTGTGGTCCAGGTGCCGGCAAACGCTCCTGGTGACCGGCTCCGTGGGGATGGGGATTTTTCCCCACGTGCAGCAAAGGTGCCTGGCCCGGGGATTCCACAAGCTGCTTTTGTCAGACGTGAACCCACCCCGAGCAGCTACGGGAGCCTCTCGTTTCCTCTTGGTGCCACTAAGAGGAGTGTGTGGCCTGGTCTCCCTTGCTGCCCCTGTGCCCTAGGGCCGGCGCTCCCGTCCAGCGAGGAAATTCAAGCGGACATTGTGTCCCCCCATGAATCCCCCGTTTGTGACCGAGCTGGGCTTTGAGCCTGCATAAATTAATCATTTTCATCTCTCTCTAAAAAAAATAAAGAAGATAAAGCCGTTGGACAGAAACCCCAGCCTTGTACGGGAGACAAGGCAAAGCCTTCTGACTGTAATTCTATAAATCCCCTGTGTCTCAAGCGCAAGTGGCCGTCCTCGCCGGGGTGCGCGTGGCCGCGGCGGCTCTTCTCCCCGCCGAGGCCCCGCGCTGCTTTACTAACCTCCTCTCCTCTGTATTCCCGTTTACCGTGTAGGTCTTTCGCAGCTTTGCAGCCCCAGGCGGGCGTTCTCTGAGCAAGGTCCGCTCCGCCTCATCCGGAGCGCCTCTTTCTTTGCAGGTTTGCAGTGTGCTGTGTGCCGTGCTGTGTGCCTAGGCTAGCGGGGTGGCACCGCGCCGCGGGCTCGCGCGCAGCCCCGGCACTAAGAGCAGAGCCATTATTGGGTACCAGTGGCAGCGATGGCCACCTTCGTGCTTTCTATGTCTGCAAACTGGTGTGAAGTCCCCAGAAGACACAAAAGCCTCAGTGGTCCCGTCTGGGAGTCTTTCCTTGTATTTAGTTTGGGAAACTCCCTGGTGGATTTCACATTTCTATTCGCATTTCATATTTAATCCAAATTTCACATTTAATAATTCACAGCAGCATCAAGCTGTTTTAATCCGGACTTGCCTCAACCAAACTGAAAACTAAACATAGTCTGGGCTCATATATGAAGTGGACATCGCTGGTTTTTAATGGCTATCTCTTATTTCCATGGCTGAGTAGCTTTTATTTCACAGACACGTTTGTAAAATCTATCACATTTAAACCTGAGACACTTTTGATCTACTCTGTATGCAGCCTGTGAATCCAGAGAGTTTACAGCTTCGCTGAACAACCAATGCACTGCTTACAGGTTAAAAATATTTTTCCATTAAGTCTGTAAAATCCTTCTTTAAATTGCATATATAATAACTGCTAGGGTTGATGTATAAATGCAGTCCTGTTTATGTGGTTTTACTGACTCTTGTGGGTCTGTACACAGATTGCTACCTATGTGGCATAAGCTCTGTCTATACATTACACATATTTTTCAATAAAATTTTGAAGAAATAGCGTGAGATGGATTCAGTCTGTGCTCAAATGGGTGTGCAGACTTCAGAGGAACCCATAAAGCTTTTCAAAGAAGTGTTTTGGCTTGTTCAGCTTAGCAGCCTTTCTTGGTGATGGCCTTGTGCGGTGCTGTTGATCTGAATTAATGAGCATGGTTTTGTTTCATTAATTACATGGAGATCTGCAAACAAGAAAGGAACTATATCTTCCCTGCTAATTGGTATTCCTTGTTTTACAGTTCACAGCAACCCTATGGATATGCCCGGGAGGGAGCAGAGCGAGGACAGAGACAGCGGTATAGCGAGATCTGGTAATGCCAGCTTCACATGCTAACCCCGAACACTCAGAAAATCTTCAGCAATATTCCCTGCACCTTCATCCATCTCGTCAGCGAGCCCTCTCAAACCAGATCAGATAACTGTTCCGTGCAGCAGTGTGTTTTCCACACGTGTGCAGTAACACACACGTGTGTACGTATGCACGAGCATCCCGGGTACCGCGGTCCTGCAGGAGCCATCGGAACGGCAGTGCCTTTAATTAAAGCATGCTGCAAAGCAGCAAGGCAAATCAAATACTGAAATCCATTTGCAGTATTCCAAACAATACTCTGTCATCATTTCAAGCTGAGGCAGTAAATAATGTTAAATGGTGAGCTCTCCACCACCAAAGAATTGGGGATATTGGTCACTCACAGTGGTAAAGGCTTCGAAAGGATGTGATTAACATTACTGCTTTCCACAAAGAATTTATTTCCCAATACATGTGATTGATGGAACAGAGCAAGGTGTAGCCTGCACCGTGCCTGTGTTGCCTGTTGCATAAAGCTGAAGGACTGTCCCACCCTTGTAGTGCTTGTGGGTCTTGTTAATGTTACTGTAAACTGGTTATTCTTAAAATAAGACATGTAGATAAGCAAAAGAGAAGGCACCTAATTGGCAACAGCCAGATATCTCAAGGGGCTTCATTTAATTGCTGGCGTTATTGTCCAAATACTCTTTCTTCTGGAGGGAGTCTTATTTATTCCTCCTACTGTTGCAGCATCTCTTAGCAGTCTGCTCATCACGCCGTTCCCGTCCCCGGGCTCCTCGTTCAACAAGAGCTGTGCGAGCAGCTACCAGCGGCGCTGGCGGCGCAGCCAGACCACCAGCCTGGAGAACGGCGTCTTCCCTCGATGGTGAGCTGGGAGTGAGAATGCCGGGTGCTTCCCATGGTTTTCCACCTTCGTTAACTTGATCCTGCTCTTGCATACACACATCTGTTTTTGCCGTTGTTTTCTGTGGAGTATTTATAGATTGCAGTTCAATGATTGATCTTTTTTAGTACCTGTTTCTTCACGGCATTTGTTGTTTTTCACTACTTAGAAAACCTTCAGCAAAATTTTTTGAGTCTAAGAATCCCTAAAATCCTACTCAAAACACAAATATTTGGCAGAAATAGGAACGAACTAGTATATCATATTCTAATCCCCTCAGTACTTTGATTTTGTGGTTGCAGGATCAATTAATGATCCATCAATTAATTAATTTCTAAGATGGATTTTAGCAAAGGTGCTAATTTGACAACTGCTGCAAACAAAAGGTTTTGCAAAGGTTTGCAATGTTTGTTAACATTGATGGTAAATGTCCTAGAGTTTAATTACACAAGAACCCAAGGTATCATTTTAAGCAGTGGATTATGTTAACTTTCTATTTTTTCCATGCTTCAAGGTCCATGGATGAAAGCTTTAATTTGTCAGATGACAGCTCTGGTCCTAGCCCAGGAATTGTTAGGAAAAAAAAGATAGCAATTGGAGTCATTTTTTCACTCTCAAGAGATGAAGATGAAAATAACAAATTTAATGAATTCTTCTTCTCGCACTTTCCTCTTTTCGAGAGTCACATGAACAAACTGAAGAGTGCAATAGAACAGGTAAACGCTTTTTTGGGGGGGATTTTTGCACTTGTAATTTGCACCTTATATTGCTCTATGCTCCTCTTCGTCCCTTTCAGATTTCATTTCTAACTCTTGCTGCTCGCCTATAAAAATGAGCATGAGACAGAGCTGGGCTCTGGTGTTGCAGCTGCGGGAGCCGAGGGGCTGCATCAGGCTCCGGCACTGCCCAGCACTCCGGCAGCCCTGCAGCAGCCGCAGGGCCAGGGTGCTTTTACCCTTTACCTCCTTGTTTCAGCTGTATCAGGGTGGATTGCAGGATCAGTTCCAAACTGTAAATAAATCCTGTGCTTTTCTCCCCACCCCCCAACTCAGATGTGTAGGATATTTTCAAAGATGGAACAAATGGTATCAAATGTGCAACTAGTTTTGCTTCAAATCCCTCTTCTAGGAAATACTTAGCAGTTAATTTGCCATTACAGTGAAAACTTTGACCCCTTTTATGCCTCGAGTGATTGAAAAGCACAGAAGAGACAGTCTGCAAACACATGTGCCTCACCTATCTTTCCTCCGATACGAAAGCTGGCACTTGTGCCATCGTTCATCACTTACAAAAAACCATTTGCATGACTCGTTGCATGAAAGATAAAGTCAAACAGATGACTTTGTTTTCCATTTTTGGTGTTTCTGTAGCTATGCCTGGTGTTACTTATCTGTTTAATGGTTGTTTTCAAGGCTATGAAAATGAGTCGTAGATCAGCTGATGCCAGTCAGCGGAGTCTGGCGTATAACAGGATTGTTGATGCCCTTAACGAATTCAGGTGAGCAGTTTGTTTATCTCTCGTTTTCTTTTCATGGCTGTTTTTACAAAAGCACTTGAGTCTGCTCTAGAGGGACCTTCTCCTTAGTGTAGCTTTCCTTGGCCTTCAGAGATCTCATCTGAAATGGAAAATGGTTTTAACCCTTTTTATATAGTAAGTTATGATATCTACTGTCTTCTGAAAAAGTAAGTATTATCAAATTATTGGCTTCTTGCAAGTCGCTATAAGCTGTGTGTATCATACCTTGAAATTCTGACATGCATGTGGATTCGTGGAAGCTTGTGGCACATAGGGCATGGATGATCAAGGGTTTTTCTCCTGTGGATAGTAATGAAGTTTCCAGCAACCTCCTAAATTGTTTTTTATGTCCCACTAAGATGGGAAAAGAGGAACTGCAAACCCATGCTTGAGAAACCCTGCTCCAAGTGTGTATTTTCCTGGTGAAGCAAGACCTTTACTCTGCACTAAGTGCTGCTCTAAAGGAATTTCAGATAAGCAGCTACGAAAAGGCAGGACTATCTTATTCACACAGAGAAGTGCAGCTCCGTAACCTGCTGCTATCAGCACCTGCAGAGCCTCTGCTATTCAACAGTTAATACACAGAGCAGTGCAGATAAGCACATCCCTGGCCTTTAACTCTGTTTTCTTTCCATAGTTTAAGTAATGGGGAGGGGAAGAAAGGGAGATGCATCTGCTGCAAGGGATTGTCTCCCCTGGATGGGAGGGCCGGGGTGATTCCTGCAGAACCCAGGGAGAGCTGCCTTGAGAGGCGCCCGGGGTGGCCGCGCTGGGGTGTTCTCCACCTGCCTGTGGGCTCTCGTTGGCCTTGCCCTGACCGTGATGGTGCTGAGGACTCCCTGGGCACGGCTGCCTAGCTGAGCCCGGGGCACGCGGTGACATCTTGGGGCAAAGGCCAGCACTTTCTGTAGCCATCTCTCCTCCAAGCGCAGAGCAGGTGCCGAGGCCGGGGCGCCGGCAAGGAAGGAGGGCAGAGGAGCAGCTCCGCAGGGAACGGCCGTGCGGGGTGGCCGGGAGAGGCGCTGCCGGGGCCGGGAGCAGAGGGAGCTCGTGGCTGCCAGAGCCCAGGGGCCCGTGCCGAGTTGGGCCGCTCAGCGCCGCCGTGGGCACTGCTCATGCTGCCCTTTTCTGCCCGAGCAAGCGCGTTCCCGGCCCTGGGTAGCTCCGTCCTCCCCGCTGCCCTCCCCTGGACCCTTTCCCATCAGGAGGCACGCGGCAGACTTTGCCCCTTCTCCCTCGTCCTTCCAAGTTAAACAGTCCCGGAGCGGTGGGAGGGGAGCGTGCTCCGAGACGGCATTGGAGAAATAAGCCTGGGAGCTGCCAGCGTGGGCTGCCTTCCCTCGCTGCCTTCCTCCTCCTCCTCGTCCTCCTGCTCCTCGGGCGTTGCCAGGAACGTGGGTCCACGTGGTGGCGTGTCTGGCACCCGGGCTGGGAGCATCTTGCGTGGCGGGGACGCCGTAACCGCCGCGGTGCCGCTGCCGGCTCCGTGCGGGGCCTTCATGGCCGTGACAGAGATACGGCTCTTTCATATTAGGTGAATCCAATCCGGCGTGATTTAGCATAAATTAAATTTCCTGGGGCGGCACGCTTTGCTGATGCTGTTTTATGGCCAAGTATGTTAAGAGCATATAAGCCAGTCTAATATACTTGATGCACTGAGTATATTAAGTAGATAAGGCAGTTGCCAGGGCCACCTCTGCTGGTGATACTGGTGGCATCTCGGGGGTGCTACCTGCAGCATGTGAGCCCCTTGTTTCAGAAAGCAAATGCTGCAAAAAGGAAAAAAGCACATTTAAATACTGAGGCTGGATGCAAAGAGGCTTTGGCACCAGTTCAGCAAACCCATTTAGGCTACTATTATCTCTTTAGGCGTCTGCCTCCCCGCTGGAGTCACGGGGAAGTCAGGAGGCTGAGTCCCTCGGTGAACCGGAGACTCGCCTGCATTTCTCCCCGCTTAGCAAACCGCGCTGCAGGGAAGGAGGCTGCTGACTGCAGTGGCTGGTGTTTCTGAAACACAACCTCGTGCTGCTTTAACTCCTTGCAGGCTTTTCTGGCAGGAGAAAATGCAAGCTGCCTCCTCAGCAGCAAAGCTGACTTTATCACATCTCCGCAGAGCAGAGGAGGCTGGCGGAGGCCCTGCGGGCGGGCTGGACTCCGCTCTCCCCCGGCTGCCTCATCCTGGGAAGGGCTCTGTGCCCTTTGGCATGTTGATGCTCCCGGTAAATTTGCCTGCGTGGCTCCAGGCTGCCCCTTGCATCGTTAGCCACTTGGAAGCGGTTTTTAATTTTCTAAAGCGCTGCTGACTTTAGCTGGTAACACTTGGCTGAGAGGCTTAGAGCCTGGCTTGGCTGTCAGATGGGCAGACACATGACTTGGGCAATAAGCTGCTGCCCTTGCACGAAGGGTTCGCCTGCCACGGCCGCACCGATAATCCCGCTGCCGCCGCCGGCGCTCCGGCACGGCCTTGGGAAGGGCCTCTCCCCGCGGCCTCGCAGCCCAGTCGCCTCTTTTCTGCCTGTGGTTCTTAAGGTTCTTGCTCTGCGGGGAGCAAAGCAGGGAGCTTTGCTCTTGCTCAGGGCAGCGGGGTGGCCTCATGCACAGGGAGCTCCCCCTGCCCTTATTTCTTCATCCATTATAGGAAAAAAAGCCTGGAGGAGGAGGGAATGAGGGTAGGAAGCTCAAACCCCCTGGATGTGCCAGACCCCGAGCAGGAGCAGTGCCCGCTGCTCGTGCACGCGAGTGGCGGATTAGAATTGCCATTACTTTCATAAATCTGGGTAACCTCCCTGCATTTTTCCCCCTCGTTTTTCCCCCTTCACTCGGGGCGAGGGGAGTGTGCGCTGGCGGGGCGGGAAGCGGTTAATCCCTGGCCGAGGTTCCCTTTGCTGCAGTCACATGCCTGCTGGCCGCCCGCCAGCCGAACCCGATCGCTCGCGGAGGAAACACTATCAGCCGCAGATGCAGCCAGGGTTACCAGAATAGTAAATAACGAATCACAAGACTCGGGCTATCTTTTCAACGAAAACAAATATTTTAATGTGCTGCTCGCAGCAGAGGAGCGGTTTCTCTTTCAAAACACTTGCGTGGCCCTGCGGGAGGCTCCGCAGCAGGAACCCGCCTGCCCCTCGCGGGAGCTTCTTGCTTTTGGCCCCGGCTCCGGTGGCTGTGGTGCCCCGCGTGCCGAGGTGGATGTTCTCCCGCGGGAGGGTTTCTCCTGCCCGCGTCCCCGGCGCTCGCTTCCCTTGTGCTTCTCTGCGTTTTCAGCGCGCTCTAAATGTCGGCTCCGCCAGAGTCGCGGCGCTGGCGTCGTGTTTGAAACAAGAACTAACCGGAGCGGGAGCGGAGCAGTGATCCGGGGGGAATTAACTGGGGGGTTACTGCAGAGTTCCGTGTTCAGAGTTGGAGGAGGAGCCCCGGCCCCTCGGCCTGCAGCGCATTTGGCACCGAGATGCACCAGGTCTTAAAGCAAGCAGAAAGTTAAGGCACTTTGGTAGATCAGGTGCACATAAAAATTGCCCTGAGCACAAGCTGAGCCAGAATTAGGGAGGATTTACATGTTTCGAATGTAGTGGGGAGAATGCAGGGTAGTCACAGGAAGAAAACGTGCCGTTCTTCCCTGCTCAGCTGCTGCGTTTTGCCAGGGCACGCTGAGCTGGGCCCAGCTCACTCAGCACCTGCTGGGCACAGGAGGTTTAACGTGGAAAGGTGAATTCATCCCCTTCAACAAACAACGTGACCGGGACAACAGTTGAGGAGAGAGAGCTTCCCACTGACAGAAATGGCAGTTGGAACCAAATGTTGCAATAAAGTCTCTGAATGGGAATTTCTGCCCTCCACTATTTGGTTTAATTTTCTGGATTTTGTTTTCTTGCTTTTCAGAACAACTATTTGCAACCTGTACACGATGCCGCGGATTGGGGAACCCGTCTGGCTCACCATGATGTCTGGAACACCAGAAAAGAACCAGCTTTGCCATCGTTTCATGAAGGAGTTCACCTTCTTGATGGAAAATGCGTCGAAAAACCAGTATGGTGGATTTTAGTTTTTAAATGTGTATCTATTCATGCCATTTTAATTTAAAAGGAGTTTTTATTTATTTATTTTATAATTCTGATAATACTATGGAACCAAAGCCCATAAAAGTGCTAGTTTTGAGAGCAGAAAGTAGCAAGGCAGAGATGGGGAAGGAAGCGGCTCTGGATGGGCTCCCCGGCCACGCGACATCCCCGAAGGAGCACAGCCGGCACGGAAGCGGAGCGGGGATGGAAACGCAAAGCCCGGGGACCAAGCAGGGGGTTGCCTTGAAAAGCAGCAGCCGTGCGGGCCGACATAGCAGAAGAGCTGCAGAAAAGAGCACGGCACCACGTGGGTTTGCTAGCAAAGCTGAGCCTCCCTTGGCATGGGAGCAATACTCACAGCTTGTAAGGGCAGGGGATCTGCTGCTCGGACCTGGCACGTAATCAGGGCCAGGAGTGGCACCTTCTTCTTCCAAAAAAACAGAGCGTGTGTTTTTTTTTTTTAAGATGTTTTACAATACGAAGCTTGCAAAATAGGAAGTCTCATGATGGTTGCCAAACTGAGGAACTAATGGTCACAGGTTTAAAATACTTGATTCTACTTTAAGCATGTCTTCTGTGCAGGGGTTAGTGGTGGGCAATACAGGAAAGCAGCAGATAGGCAGCAGAGATGATCCTGGCTGTGCTTGTTAGGTTGTTTCTGGTATTTCTGCTCCATGCCCATTGTAGAATCGCTGTCACTTCAACTTGTTGAGTGTGTACGTGGAAAGTCTGATACTGAATGTTTTGCTGTCAGGTTTCTACCAGCTTTGCTGACCGCGGTCCTCACTAACCACCTGGCCTGGGTCCCTACCGTCATGCCCAACGGGCAGCCGCCCATCCGAATCTTCCTGGAGAAGCATTCTTCCCAGAGCGTGGACATGCTGGCCAAGACGCACCCCTACAACCCGCTGTGGGCGCAGCTAGGTACGTGCCGCACGGCCCCTGGAGAGGCTGCAGCTTTGCATGAGTGGCCGTGGCCATGGTGGTTTTTCCTGATATGTGTTGTTTCCTTTTCCCAAGTTAAAACTCCTTTTTTACTCGAGCAACGCCAAATTCAGCATTTCAAAGCAGGAACTCAAGCAGGTAGTACTTATTATTCATGCTCTAATTTCTTAAGGCAGTGCCAGTTATGAAATGGCAGCCAAAAAATAAAGCCATCTTTTTAGTCATCTGCAGCAGGGCGGCCCTGGTGGTGATGCAGGACTCGAGTTCTTCTCTGGCCCTCTTTCCATAAGGGAACTCCATCTTCTGCTTTTTGAGATGCTGCTGTGAACAAGCCTGATTCTAGGAAGAGCAAATGATGGAAATCATCTTTTAAAAGCTGGGAAACGGGCATTCTGTCAGTGCAGCAGACAGTGACACAGTGCAGGAAAACAGAATAGGGAATAGAGCCCCTGGGCAAGGTTACCAGGACCTCTAAAACTAGTGGCTTGAGTCGTTGGTCCTACTGCCTTCTGAGGGCTGCTGAGGAGAGGAGAGGAGTTGAGCTTCCTACTTTTGGTCATGTTGTCCTGCTCTGCGCACAAACTCTTGAGGAATTTGTTTGGGAAGGACAGCAGAAAGTTCTATGAGGTCGCCCTGTCCCAACACAGACAAGGATGGCCAAGGACTTGGCAAGGAGGCACTTTTCCAAAACTCATGCCACTCAAGGGATCCACTCCTTCCAAGGAGGATTTCTGTGCCTTCGGCATCCCTTGTCCCCCATCCCACGTTCACAGCGTGCCCTAAGACCTCCAAAAAAACCACAAGTACTGGCTCTTCCATACGTAGACCAGGAATACGGTCCTCCAAGCTGTGAAAACCTACCTATCCAACCCATACTAGGGCTTAAGGGAAGGGTTGGCTTCGTCTCTGCCTCCCCACTGTCTCCATGCCCTTGGCACAGGTTTGCTTCTTTCTTTCTTCTTTCCAAGCTTTCCGTGGTAGTTCAAAGTTCAGCCCAGTTTCCAGACTATCCAAGGTAATTCAGAGCAGGTGCCTTCTCTCTCCCAGGACTATATAAGGACCGCAGGAGTCCGGCCTCTAGAGCAAGGGACTGAACTTAGGTGGTGTGAATACGTGAATACTCCCTAATATGTGAGATCAGATGTCTCACTGGCCACGGGGTCATCTTACAGAGGATACCAACAGCATCATTAGGATTCTCTGTAGTAGAAACAAAACACCAGCACAGCCATCCTCGCGCCTCTGCCTCAGCTTTTCCCTGTTGTAGGCCTGGCCTTTCATAGCTTGGTCAAGGTTTGTTCACAGCATTGTGTGTCTTGCAGCTAGATTTATTCTAAAGATGAGAAAAATACTTGTCTGTTCTGTTTCCTATTTTAGGTGACTTGTACGGGGCTATTGGATCACCTGTGAGACTAGCAAAAACAGTTGTGGTTGGCAAAAGGCACGACCTGGTACAGAGGCTGCTCTACTTCCTCACTTACTTCATCCGGTGCTCGGAGCTCCAGGAGACACATCTCCTGGAAAACGGGGAGGATGAAGCCATTGTCATGCCTGGGACTGTGATCACCACCACGCTGGAGAAGGGAGAAGTGGAGGAATCCGAGTACGTGCTTGTCACAATGCACAAGAACAGGGGCAACTTGCTGCCGAGCGAGGCTGAGGAGACGAGAGCTCCCAACTGCAGCTGCAAATACTGCAAATGCCCCATCGCCCTCGCCCCGAGCGCGGAAGGTGCCGCCCAGCAGGACAGAGAAGATGCCCCAAGCACTGCTAAGGTGGAGCTGGAAACGTCCTCGGACGAGAGCAGGACGGCTGGTTCCAGTGACTGCCAGGAAGACGCTCTTGATGTTCAGCAAGCGAGAAGCTGCCTGGAACCTAAACTGGAGACCGTAGTGTGCACGGGGTCAGCGTCGCCGGAGCAGCGCGTGAAGCTGCCTCCAGACAAGCTCTGCTGCGGTGCCTGTCCCGGCGCCGCCGCCGCGGCGCAGACAAAGGTGACCTTCCTCATCGGAGACTCCATGTCGCCCGACTCGGACATCGAGCTCCGGAGCCAGGCGGTGGCGGAGCAGATCGCGCGGCACCACGGGCAGCCGGCCCCGGAGGAGGCAGCGCCTGCGGAGCCGAGCTGCGAGGCTGAGCACGCTGTGGAGGACCAAAACGGGGCCCGTGGGACGGCCCAAGCCTTTCCTCAAGTTGCTAGTGAGCATCAGAGCTGGAATCCGAATCCATACGGTGCTGAGAGCATGAGTCTGTTTGATGAATATTTTACTGATGACAGTTCCATTGAAACCCGGACTATTGATGATATCCCAGGGCAAGCAGCTGCAGACCTGCTCACTCACAGCAATAGCTCAGACTTTTCTAAAAAGCTGTGCCCAAAGGCTAGCAAACCACCCAGTGAATTCTGTAAGTTTATGGACTCCGTTCGACAGGAGACCTACAAAAACTGCTTTGATGAGCAGGACCAAAGAGACAAAATCTCTATTCGTGTCCCCCATGGGGATAGAGAAAACGTAGAGAAAAAAGTCGCCCCAGGAATTGATTGGGACATTCCGAGAAACGAGAGCTCCGATAGCGCCCTGGGCGACAGCGAGAGTGAGGACACGGGTCACGATCTAACTAGAGCAAGCGGGAACTACTATGGAGGGGAGCAGGAGGACTGGGCAGAGGAGTATGAGATCCCTTTCCCCGGGTAAGTGCTATTCAGCAGCTGGGCACCAAAGCTGCAGCCTCTCCTCATGTCGCGTGTTTGCAGGAGTGTCGCCTAACCTGGCACCCATGGCTGGAAACTGTGTCTCGGGTTTGTTGGTTGTAGAAGAGGTCAGTTGTCTGGAAAAAAAAGGTATAAAAGGTACTATCTGTGCATTGGCACCTTGGCTCAAATCCTTTTCTTCCCCAGTGGACTGACTGTGAAAGCTGATTGATTTTTTTAAAAGGTGCTTGAATTGAAGATAGAGGAGATACAATAAATGTGAAAATGCAACCTCTTTGTTAGCTGAATTTGGTGTTTCCTCTTGTGTATCTCCATGATATGCCTTTCTTGCAGGTCAAAATTGGTTGAAATGAACTCTGTCCAGCCCAGTATTGCCAATTTTGGAAGATCCTTACTAGGCGGCTACTGCTCATCTTATGTTCCTGACTTTGTTTTGCAAGGAATAGGAAGTGATGAGAAGCTGAGACACTGTTTGGTGTCAGATCTGTCACACGCTGTGCAGGTAATTAAGCTATATTTGGAAATGTATTTCTCACAGTAGGGAAAATCAAATGTTTTTGAATCAACAAACACGTAGGAAATGAAAATATTTGCTGTCACAGCTCTCTCAGGTTCCTGCAGTCCAGGTCACCAGTGCTTCTCCCAGTTAATGTGTCAGGGAAGTCAGGCTGACTCGGGCTGGCTCCACATTCACACGAGCAGTGTGGACTGACACCGGAGCCACCTGTGGAGGTTTGTGCCCTCGGGCAGGTGGATCCCGGTGCTGATCCCGGCAGGAATCCCGTTCTGCTGCAGCCGCTCGCGCTGGCCGGGCGCACGCAGGGCGTTTGGAGCCACCCCTGGGGCTGGGTGGCTCTGGTGGCATCGACCCCTTCCTCACGCTCAGGACACCAGAGGAAAACACCAGGAGGGAAAACTGGAGAGGGTCCCCTCCAGCCTGGGCAGCAGCAGCATTGCCCAGAGCGCGGGGCAGGGAAGAGAGTCCCCCCGGAGCCCCTGCAGGGTCCCCTGGTCCCGCACCCCGAGGCAGCAACGTGAGTCACTGGCCATGCAGTTGGCACCGTCTCTGCGGCCGTTCCCCACGTCGCCGTCCCCTGTCCTTGCGCCCCAGTGGTGTTTTGCCTGCGGAGCAGCCCCGAGGTCTCTTCTGGGGGGCTTTCCCTTAAGGCAAAGGCGTAACTGAAGCCCAGGCAGGAGCGGCAGCGGCGCTGGGGAGCTGCTACCCCGAGACAGAGGTTGGAGCGTCGCCGAGGGCGTCGCGTCCCCCGTCCCCATGGTGCCACGTTCCCCCTGTGGCTGTTGTGCCTCAATGGCAAAGCCAAAGACTGAGAGGATACAAAAAAGGATTAAAAAAAAAAAAAGATTTTAGATGCTGACTTTCAAGTAATTAGTAGCATCCTGGTGCTGTGGAAAAGGAGACTCTCTGGAAGATGCTGCCTTCTGAGAGCTCAGCCCTAAAGGTGGCAGGGAGAGGACAGTGGGTTGGAAGAGCCTCCTCCCCTCCTTTTAAAAAAGCAACAACAACAACAAAAAAAGCAGAAAAAGAGAAGGAAAAAGGCCTTGAAGGGGCCTCGAACCCTATGAAGGGAGCAGGAGGGCCCAGCTGGTTCGGGCGGTTCTTTGCTCCCTCTGCTGGTCCTGCACGGGGAGCCCTGCTGACGAGCAAGGCAGGTTCTTGGGGCTTTCAGCTTTAGAGGATTAAGATACACTTTCAATAGGTGCTCATTTTTATTTTACCCATATTCAGTTAGAACTCTTCATATGAAATATCAAAAATACTTGGTAACAAGAAGATGCGTGGGAGGACGCGTGAAGAGTGACCGTGCTCCTGTGGAGCTGAGCTCGGCTCTCGGGACGCGATGGCAGCTCCCAGAATGTCCCTGCTGTTTGGGTCCCTGCAGCCTCCGCTCCTGGGGGTGGCAGCGTTTGGGAACCAGACTGGTGTCATTTCCCATTCTCACACTTGTGCCATGAAATTGTTGGTTTTTAGCATCCTGTTCTGGATGAACCCATCGCCGAAGCCGTCTGCATTATTGCAGACACGGACAAATGGACTGTGCAAGTGGCCAGTAGCCAGCGGCGGATGATTGAGAACAAGCTGGGGAAGGAGGTATTGGTCTCCAGCCTCGTCTCCAACCTGCTCCATTCCACTCTTCAGCTTTACAAGCATAATCTATCTCCGAACTTTGTAAGTATGAAGGCAAATCGAGAGTGCCATGTTCTCCAGCATCCTTTTGCCTTGTAGGTCGGTGCTCTGTAAGCTCCGTCCCCGTTTGTTTACGGCCGGCAGTGGGCGCATCCGCCGCCGTCTGCGCGGCTCCTTCCAGTGCAGCCGCGCAGTTGAGACAACCGACGTTTCCGTTGGCCGCAGCCAGGGGGCGGCGGTGGCCGCAGGGCCCGTCCACGCGGCGGTGACGCCGGCTCGGGCGCCGCTGCTCCCCTGACGCGCTCCCCCTTTCTGCCCTAGTGCGTGATGCACCTGGAGGCCCGGCTGCAGGAGCTGTACTTCAAGAGCAAGATGCTGTCCGAGTACCTCAAGGGCCAGATGCGGGTGCACGTGAAGGAGCTGGGCGTCGTGCTGGGGTACGTTGGCCGCCGGGAGGGCTGTTGGCTCCGCTGGGAAGGGGCGGCGTGGCCGGCACTAACCGCCCCTTGGCTTCCTCCTAGGATCGAGTCGAGCGACCTGCCCTTGCTGGCGGCCGTGGCGAGCACCCACTCGCCCTACGTGGCCCAGATCCTGCTGTGAAGGGCTGGGGCAGAGCCGGGGGCGCTCGGTCCTGCCCTGGAAACACAGCGGAAGGCGGCTCGGCCTGGCTCCCTCCTCTGGGAAGCAGCGGGGCCGGGCGCTCGCGGCCTCTCCACGTGTCACTGCGCGTCTGGAGGCCTCTCCTCTCCCTCGCGGCCGTTCAGGAGAAAGGATAAAGCCAGGAAAACGGAGAAATGGATAAGCCTGACATCGCGAGCACACAAAATCCAAGATTTTAGCAAAAGCTGAAGACCTGCATTTTTTTTTCCATCAGCGTCTGCCACGGTGGCAAACTGTAATTTATATTTGGGAACGCAAGGAGAAACTGCTTTGGGAAACAGATCCTGCTCCCGCCGGCTGCAGACTCCGCGGGAGCAGCAGCAGCTGCCCGGGCTGCTCGCGCTCCCCAGGCTCCCAGGCACGAGGATTCGTCAACAACTTCTGCTTTTTCACGTCACAGTTAAATTCTGGCTCCTTCCCAGCGGAAGATCAGGGGCGTGGGGATTTTTTTGTTTTGTTTTGTAAAAAGCTTCTTAATGCCCCTCAGCTCCAACGTTTATTTATACTCGTCCTCCTGGAGAGAGGGGGAGCAGACGAGCCGCAGGGGAGCCCCCTTCCTTGGCCTGCCTGTAACCAGTATTAAATGTTCCTAATGTTTAAATGTTGCTTTATACTAAGTGAGGCTTTTCTTTCAGAACTTAATCAAAACGTTTAAAAAAAAAATCAGCAAAAAGCAGCAGCTCAAGTGAGACCGGTGGCTGAAGCTGAGATTTCCCCGAGGCCCCCGCACGGTGTGACTGTTACCTCGCACTTTTGTATGGCCTGTAGTTCCCTTGCCACGTCCTGGTCTTTTCACAGCAGTCAGTCGGCTATTGAAATAACGAGCTAGAAGTGATTGTACCAAAGCATTGGGGAAAAAAACAAACAAAAACAAGGTATCGAATATGACCCTTAATTGCTCAGGTAACTAATTGATATATTTTTAAAAACAGTTCTACAAAAAAATGAACACTGATTACACCATAGTATGGTAATAGCAAAATTATTTTTTGACAAAACAGACCCTTGATGCAGAAGACTCTAACCCCTTTTCTACTCACTCGTGTGACTACCAGCAGGAAATGTTGTTTATTTGATTCTCAGCGTTTCTCCTTCCCTCGGCCGCGGCTGTCGTGTCGTTGTAGATACAGTGGTTGTAGGAGTAGCGGATGGATCCAGCCTGGTGTGAGTCACGTACGTAGGCCCTGGTAGGTGGATTATGTTTTCAAAGGCTCTACTACCTCAGTTTAACTGGACACTTCATTCTAGGCTTTTCTTGGCTTATTTGTCCTAGCAGTCAATTAACGTCACTAATTTTAGCTTCCGTTTTCATTGTTTGCAGTCGATATATCAAAGTTTGTGGATGAGCCACCGCAGAAGTAGGGAGGTCCTTGGTCACTGAGCTGTGTAAACAGCCCTGTAAATACCTGCTCTGGGCTCACCACCTTCCCAGCCCTCGAGTCCCCTTCTCGTGGCGTTCGAGGGCGGTTTTAGGCTCAATCCTCCTTTAACCATTCGAGGAACCTGAAAGCAGCAGGAGATCCCTGCCCCGCTGCTGCCCACGATGCCCCTCTTGGGGCCAGGATTTTGCCCAGTGTCTTTTTCGATCCCCTTCAAAAGCTCTAACTTGAAGACCCTCCCAGGAAGGATGTACGTGGGCAACCCTCAGCCTGTGCCAGCCCGTGGACTTGGAGACAGGCCCTTCTGGGCACGGAACCTCGCTGGCCCTGCGGGGAGGCCCCCGTGTTGAGCAACGTGCTCTGAGGATTCGCTCGTCCCCTCTAGATTAGAAGTCCCCTCTTTGCCCCGCGGCTGCATCCGGCCCCTGGGACGAGCGCAGCGCGTAGCAGCCCAGGGCTGCGAACGTTGGTGGCATGGGGCATCGAGCCCCCAAATAACGAGGCTCTGACTCTCTGCTCCGCTGCTTTCTATAGCCGATGTCACGTTGCCTCCGTTCCGCCCGCCCCAGGGGTGTTTGCAGGGATCGGGCGTGGGACGGGGATCCCGCAGGGATCCGGCACGGGACAGGGCGGCCCATGCGCAGCCTGGGAGGGAGCGGGAGGCGCTGCTGTTGGGAGGGCTCCGCCGGGACGAGGGGCGAGGCTCTGACTCTCTGCTCCGCTGCTTTCTATAGCCGATGTCACGTTGCCTCCGTTCCGCCCGCCCCAGGGGTGTTTGCAGGGATCGGGCGTGGGACGGGGATCCCGCAGGGATCCGGCACGGGACAGGGCGGCCCATGCGCAGCCTGGGAGGGAGCGGGAGGCGCTGCTGTTGGGAGGGCTCCGCCGGGGCAGGGGGACGCGGGAGCGGGAGCGCTGCCTGCCAGCGCCACGCAAGGGAGCCTCGAGGGGACGAGCGCACGGGCTCTTGAAACGCCAAGCACGGCCCTTTCATGGGAACAGGGAATTACTGCTTCACTTCTGTGCTCCGCTATTCCCGATCTCCAATCTCCTGATATCCCAGTCTCCTGAAAATTAAGCGTACTAGTCGCACCGATCAGATTTTTTTTTTTGTTGCAATTGGCAAACACTGGGCTGCTAAGAACAAAAATATTTAAAAGAAAGGATTTTACACCTTGCATCTGTTTCCCCTCTTAGTTATGATAGATATTTTATGACAATTTTTTGCTTTCTCTAAATTATTTAGATGGTGGTACTTGTAAAATGCTGGGTAAACTGTACATACTTGTTATCTCTTCTGTTTTTGTATATATTTCCCAAGTTGTGCACTTGTATTATAATAACCATTCCCAATTTTAGGGGAAATTTGTGCAATAAATACAGTATGTCAATTTACTACTGCCGCGTTTGGCTCGTGTCCCTTCGTCATGCTTGCAGCGAGGGAGCCTTGGGGAATATATATATGTGTGTGTTTATGGTATGGTTTATATATATATGGTTTTATGTTTTTTATATATAGAATCACAGAATTGTTACGAGGCGCCTACGCGCCTCTTCTGCGCGTTTCTTGGGCACTGCCAGGGACAGGGACTCCATTGCTGCCCTGGGCAGCCTGTTCCAAGGCTTGACCGCTCTTTCCATGTGGAAATTTTTCCTAATATCCAATCTGAGCCTCCCCTGGCGCAACTTGAGGCCATTTCCTCTTGTCCTAAAGACAAGATATATATATACCTATATACATATACGTGTATATGTATATATATACACACATAAGTGTGTGTGTGTATATGTATACCAGATAGGTAGATATCTTGGGGTATTATATCTTGGCATATACATAATGGAGTCTGGGGATGTAGCCTCTATATAAATATATATATCATGGAGTCTTGGGATAATGGAGTCTTGGGTCCATTGCTCAACTCTGGGTACTCTCCCGGGGCCGGACCTTGGGCTGCCGGAGGGGCCTCGGGCTGCGGGAAGAAGCTGGTGCTGCTGGAGGAGCCTCGCGGGCCCCGGCCGGGATTTAGCGCAGCCCTGTGGGGACCTGGGCAGGAGGCAGCTCCTCCCGGAGGCGCTTCCCGCTCCCTGCTCTGCGCCGGGGGAGCCGGGCCTTTATTTAACGCGTGCATCGTCCCATGGAGCGTGGCCGGCTCCCCGTGCTGCTGTCCTGTCCCACGGGTGTCCCCATGCACCCCAGGGAGCTCCGAGGCTCTCGGCTTCCTCTGCGGAGAGCGCGGGCGCACGGAAAGCACGTGCAGCCACTCCAGTGACTGCTGCAAAACACAGGCAGGAGCAGTTGGACTCTGCAATAGCTGGGGCTGAGTGCGCCATGTGCTACCGCGGCGGCAGGGAGCGGGTTTATTCATAGCAGCTGGGACGGGAAACGTTGGATGATTTTGATGGCTACCGAGGAGCGGAGAAAGCAGGAGGGCTGCGTTTGCCTGCGTGAGCAAGCCGGGGGGTAGAACGGGAGGGAGACGTTCCCGGAGAACAAGATAATTACAGCTGTGTTGCCTGTGCAGCAGTAATTAATGATCAGGCAGTTCATTCTGGAGGTTGTTTTTCTTTAGCAGCTCCGGTGGATTCAACATGAGGACTCGGGCTCTGTCATTTCAGATGACATCGCTGTGACGTGGGTGAGGCTGCAAAAGCCATCAGCCTGGAGGCAAATTTATTTTTCAAAATGCAACTTAAATCTGTTAACCATTTCTTAAATTATAGGTTAGGGAAAAGCTGGCTCTCCCTATGGTAACAGATACACGTTTTAAAGAACCGCCGGCTTGAACTAATTTAGTAACTAAAATCGAGCACCCGGCGCCCGCGAGCCCGCGGAGCCTTGGGAAGCTCCATCTCTTTCCCCGAGGCGTAGGGGGGAAACGGCCCTTAACCGAAACGTGGCCTTTGCAGCGTGTTTGGTTGTCACGTCCCGGGCTGCCTTTCTCCGCTCGCCGGGGGAGCTGCTGGCCCTGGCACATCGGTGCTTCCCCAGGACACCAGGGTGGCGCATGGGAGCTCCCTAAGTGCTTGGAATTAACTGGGGCTTTGGCTGTTTCCTGTCCATCTGATCCGAGTGGTTGTGCCCGGGCCGGGGAGCTGAGCAGCCGGGGAGCCCGACGGGGCCACTAAGGCGTCGCGAGGGGAAGGAGGACGTTGGTGACGGCGCCGCTCGTGCTCCTCCGCGCGTCGCTCCAGGGCAGCGCGACGCACACCGGCCCGCACGGCTCTGCCAGGAGCTCCCGGCGCGTTCCCGCTGCCGGCTCCGCTCGGGGCCTGCTGGAACGGGCAGCGCTTCCGTGCCCAAACCCCCGCGGAAGGAAACTGCCCAACTATAATAAATCTCATGGGAACAAGAAATACATAGAATGCATAAAAATACATGTAAAAATATTTTGGTTTATGATGAATGTGTGTTTTTCCCACTGGGAGACGGGAGGAAGTTGTGTCTCTCTCTGAAGAACCTGGGAAATCTTCCTGAAAGGCAAGAGATGGAAAAGACATCGCTGGATTGCGGGAACACGAGGCCCTTTCTGTCGCGAGACATCTACCAGGATGGGGACA